CCCCCCCCCCCCCCCCCCCCCCCACGGGATTTACATTGATAGGTGCATAATAATATCGTGCACAACATTTTTGGCACAAATTAATATTCTTTCCAGAGCGTCCTTAACCAAGTTGAAAAATAACGGAAATTCAGGGTGGTGGGGGTCTAAGGTAAAAGTGCCCTCTGTGGGGAGGGGGAATGGATATTTTCTGGAACTACACATTCTCTTGCACACTTACTTATCATTTACTTCAGTGGAATATATGAACTTTTATAGTGCTTTTTCTCAAGGATCCAAAAGCTCTCTAACCATAAAATTAAGCATCATGAACCAGATTAAAAATGACAATAAGAATTTTGAAATATTAAACAAATGAAAATCATATATAGAAAATGCTTGGTGATCATCTTGTCTTCAGCCACTTTGACAAAAACCCTGTGTGAATTTCCTACTGGCAGGCAGCTTCCTAAGGCTGTCTGCATAAGGGAGCTTAATTGAATAGCTTGTAGAATAACGCACCCTTGAATACTTACAATGATAATACTTACAGTATTAGTACTTATTATATTATACTTACAGTATTATATGTCGTTAATTCAACCTACCCTTGAAAGTAGAGGCAACAACTGGTTGAGAAACGACTTCACTAGGCCCTGCACAAACATAACCACTATCATCAAAGCTGTTGCAATCCATATCAAAATCATCGTCACCACCACCATCATCATCATCACTATCATCGTCATCGTCGTCGTCCTCATCATCGTCATCATCATTATCTGTTCCTGACTCTACTATCCTCTCCGCAATATTTCCTTCAGGAGGATACACTAATAAAAAAAGAAAAGAAATCTATAATGAAAATAGGAACAAATGATCGATCTATCTCAGTAGCTTAAAGGAACAAGCAAGGGGTTGACAATATACTTTGCATTAGTGTTTGATAGTATAAATTTTTATAACTGCTTCTGATCAGCCTTAATAATACAACAATGACTTCTAGATAACATGAAAATAATCATATTCCACTACGAAATCTACATGAAATAAAGAATATTTCAAGAATATTTCAGTCAAGTTCATTTTCACATAGGACAATTTTGACCTGCACAAACAAAGGTTGGAAGTTAATTAGAAGACAAATGTCTGTTTGTTTACTTTTATCAGCAATATAACTTTTTTTTTCTTGGGGACTAGTAGGTGACCAAAACAGTGCAGAATGAGCAAGTGAGTAAGCAGAAATATCAAGTTATTTGCATTTTCTTCAAAGAGAGGGAGAACTGTTTGTTTTTCTTGGGGCCATACCTTGTGGCGACTTAACTTTATTAATGATAATATTATTAGGAACTGTTTTTCTTAAATTGTTTAAAAAAGTGTCTTTTCAATTTTGAGCCCTAGATAAATCATTAACCTAAACATACACTTCATCTTAATCAAGGAGCTGCTGAGATAAGTTAGGCCAGCCAAGTGTTTGGGAGAATCAGTAGATGAAACATAGTTGGGCCAAACAAAGCACCTGTAGATCATCTCTGTCTCCCCAAATTGTATCAGTATAGCCAAAGAGTGGACTTATTAAAGCATTGTATAATGCAGCTCGAACATCCAAAGGCAATAGATGCTCAGTGATTTTGTCACCTCTGCATCCTGCATCCCTGACACATAGAAATCCCCAAAGACGCAAAATAATTCATGGCATGCGTCCAGTAGGAAGCAAAGATTGATCGATTGATCGATCTCAGCATGTGTATTTGTAGAAATATCCCATTCATGTAATTTCTGTGGCAGTTATTATGGCTGTTGTTTAATGATGCATATTTCTTTTGGCCTTTGTTGTGCTTTAATTTAAAAATAGAAGGACTATATTTCAATTTCAGTATACTATAATACAGAGTTTTGGAGTCTGTCCTCAAATTTTAAAACTGTCTGGTTACCTAAAGGCCCAGGCATTTTCAATTTCAGACTCTATTTTTTTTTACTGGAACTCGTTGGTTATGGATTGGGACTGACATGATTAACTTTTTCACAACAGTGCTTGCCACTGACATTTTGGACACTAGGCAATGGGCTAGTGAGTGAAATAAACCACTAGCCAGAAGGACAAGTCACTGGTCCAAAAATAAAAGTACTGGGGGAGGCGGGGGTTAGTTTTCAATTCTTTACTAAAACAGTTTATTTTTTTTGAAAATCCAACTTAAGAGGCAAAAAGACATGAACAGTAATAATACCAATGGCTGATGTTGCTTTGTTTCTTGTCAGTCCAGAGTTCAAGAGGCAATCTGAATGTCTTGTGTTGGAAGACATGAAAATGATAACATGTAGTAACGTTTAGTTTATTGGCTCAGTTAATGCTGTGGTCAGAATGATATGTTTGACTACAGGCCGAGGATGGTTCTATAATAATTGTAGCACTGATCATTTGTAAATTCCCTTCAAGTTAGCGGCAAATCTTTGAAAAGCTTCAAAGAGTGATTTTTTTTTATGATGGATTGCGTTGTCAGTGAAGGATATGGAACTAGGACTAAAAACTCCTATGGAAAGCTTTCCTTCCATTAGCAGCAATCGGTAACTGGTTCAGAATATGCTTGTTGGAGTCGAAAGACCATTGAAGGACGTTCTCTCAAAGGTAAGTTGTTAAAAGAGCTTGAAATCTTCTTCATTCTTGATCCTGCTGTAAATGTGCACGAGAAAACTCCAATACAGAATACCCGACTTTGATGATGCCTCTTACCCAGGCCCCTACTTTATTGTGTGACATGGAAACGAGGACGTAGTTGCATTTCCAACTGAACATGGCGTCTGTTTTGCAAGTCATTCCCTACGACACCTCCACTAAAATTTAATGAATAGTGAGTCCTTTGGTTTACATTTGATGCTCAGCTAAAAAACTAACTACTGATAAAGCATTATAGAAAAAAATGAAGAAAATTTTGTCCACTAATCTACTGGTTTTGGGGCTAGTAGGAGCACACTTTTACCAGCCCAGCATGAATTTTCACTAGTCCTGGGCTAGTGGACTAGCGTTAGTGTCGAGCACTGCACAAGAGGAGTCCCAGGACTCACCATAACTGCTTCTAACAAATTCACTGAGTGCTTATCCTTTGGTTCTCTTTGGCAATTCAGAAACCTCATTAAAACTCAAAAATTATCCGCAAGAGAGGAAAATCACTTCCCTCAGCAGTCAAAATTTTGTGGGTAGTTTGATTAAGGAGCGTAACCAAACTCAGCACAATCAAGGAAGTAAATACCACAGATTACCCTACCTTTAGGAAGACCAGCAATGACTGCAGCCATTACAAAATAAATTAAGGTCCTCCTTACAACTTTTGCGACATCTTCCAAACTTTCCTCGTGAGACTCAAGGGAATCATTGATGCCCATTACAACTGCAGTATTACATTTCGGTCCACTCCTAGCAATCATGTACAAGAGGCAGCCTTCGAGGCTGGCAGCTTTGACATGTTTTTTTAACATCTTGAGTTTTTGTTTCTGCCTTTTTTTTTGTTCTTTTTTGTCTGCATTTCCAGCCCGCAATCTCTCTGACTGAGACCCTGATGTGTAAGCAACTTTCACCAGATGCTGATTCTCAAACTTCGGATAATCCAACTTGCCTCTTGATTTGATTACAACATCTTTGATCAACTTATCTGTCTTAATTTTTTCCAAAAAGGACTTGAATGTCACTGGAAATTCTAGTCTGTTGAAATGACCCTTGATGAAACCTTCTCCTATCTTCTCCATCTTCTCCTTACTCATGTGACATTTTTGAAGCTTGCCACTTTTGAATTCAAATTTTAAGGCGGAGCTGACTGGGTAAAGACGACCCAGCATCTTGCATTTGGGATCACTGCAATCAATGCATGCACCATACAACAATGCTAGTGTAAAATGATTTACACGGTGTGATCCAATGACTCTAAAGAGTGTAGCAACTTTTTTGTTGTCATTCTCTAAAGAGAAAACAATGCTATTAATACCAAACCTATCTTGTAAAATTCATTAACAGAATAAAACATACTAAAAAATTGATAATAAGGTATAGTGTCTGTTACAACAGACAGTGAGGTTCACCATCTTGTTTTCTAATCTCTCTTATCACAGCACAATCCTCACATGAACCTCTATGACTGGCATAGAGATAATTAAATTTTGACCCTGCTCACCTTAGAGCCTCCAGTAGTTCAGTGGCTAAAGCATCCGAGCTTGAACTCGGAGGATCATGAGTTAGATTCTCACTGGAGCTCATGGAATAAATTTTTTCTGAGCTTTCCAGTGTTAGAAATTAAATCTCCTTCTTCCAAATACCGGTAACTAGAACAACCCAGTACACCAGAATTAGGGACAGGATTGTTTTCTATGACCAGCCGTTGTTGCCCACAATCTGTGTATAAACCATTTCACGCAAGATAAAACTCCCTTTTTATGAGAAAATATTAGAACTGTTTACTGCACCTGCTCCAAAGATTTGGAAAATCTTACCAGACTACATTACAATTGAAAAGAATTTTGATAAGTATAACCCATGCGCCCCTGAGCCTCCCAGAACCAACCATTGGGATCCATGTCCCTTCTACCACATGTGATGTCATCAGTTTTATGGTCAAGGACAACTCTGTCCGCTAAATTGTGCAGAGAAGAAAAGGGCAAAATAAACCATGTAACATTAGGTGCAGTTACACTAAGATACCATAAAATTCCGAAAATAAGTCCCTCCATGTGTAAGCTCTTCTAATATAAGCCCCTCAAACTCATAATGCAAAAAACCCGCCTTCGTTAAATCGCCCCTCTGAATATAAGCCCCTGGGGGCTTGTACTGGGAAAGTGCCCTCAAATACAAAATAAAACAAATCAAAAACGGTATAGTAACATATAAATTGTTGTATTTGCCAAAGAACTAGAGCGGTTTTCACTTGAGTGTCGAAAAGTAATTGGTCTTGCACTTTCTACACGATGCGATTGGCTTAAAAGATTCGCGCCACCTTTTTATCCAATCAGAAATAAAACCCAAGCCAATTGTGACGCGCTCGCATGCATTTTCCCGCGCTTTGCGTCAGCCACATGTAATTACTTCGAGTTTTGATTGGTTCAATGTATTGTCTGTGTCCTATGTGATTGGCCAGAGTAATTACTTTGGTTTTGGTTTTACGACACTCAAATGAAAACCACTCTATTACGTGTGCCAAATGATTGCAGTCAGAAAGTGTTAGCATTAGGTAACATCGGCTGAAGTCAGATTGTTTCTTTCAGTAAAATTACATGAAGAACAACTTAAGTCCAACTTTGCTGTGTAATATAAAAGTGAAATAGAAAAACTCCACTGTGATGCTTTGAACCCGGGTCACTTGCTTTATAGCCTACATCCATATCCACTACACCATCGAGGACTAGCTGCCAAATCCAGTAATTTTTAAAATATACATGTTCTTATATATGCCGTACCCCATTACAATCAGATCAGAGCTTAACTCTCTACTGTGTTCTCTCCATAACTGGCGTTCTGTAGTTTTGGTTTCTTCAGCTATTCTAGCCTCATTCTACATTCCAGTCTCATTCCATCATGAAAATAACACGTCGTGTAAAATTCATAAGGTGTCCAATCTGGCTTCACTTGATGTTATCTAATGCTAACCATTGCTGTTTGCATAGATCCTCTTCACTCTTGGCTTTGATTTTCTCGGTCCATATTGACAAAGTCTTCCATGGCTATGTTTTAGAAAGGTCTACGTCCTCAAGGTGAGTTTCATTAAGAACCTTCTGCAAATGCTGACATAAATGTCCTTTCAACTATAAGCCAGCCCAATCAATTTAGAGATGCAAATTTCCCTCCAAGTATAAGCCTAGCCGATTTTGAAACACAAACTTCCCTCTGTATATAATCCCCTCCAAACATAAGCCCCTCAAAAAGGGCCTTTGAAAAATATAAGCACCAGGGCTTATTTTCGACATTTTACGGTACTTTATTTGAGTTGTTTATGAAGGTAGCCATAAGCTGATGTGGACATACTAAAGTACAAATTATTACAAAATTAATAGAGATAACAACATAGACAAGAAATACAACTATGTACAAAATTCAATAAGATAAAGCTAAAATATTAAAACTAAATTATAAATTATATTAATGAGGCAAGAAAAGTGAAAAAAGAGGGGAGGAAAGAAAGCAAAAAGTAAAAGTCAAGACTGCTGTGTCACTTTTGAACCCAAAATCTATCTTGCAATTTTGCTTTCTGCACATGCCCAAACTTTGCAAGCTAATATTTTGCAACTGGATCAGAAATCTGCAAAGTGTACGACCTGTAAATGGCTTTATGGTAAGTTTTAGCTCTTTATAGCATGACAGAGGACCAGAAAACCACTTGACTAGCTTCAAAACGCATTTTTCAGCAAAATTTCCAGGGATGAATGGGTTAAGAAACTCCTTAATAGGACCTAGCTACTATCTAAGAGAAGCCTGCAGTGACCTTAAGTTTTCAGAGGTTCTTTTATTTTCGACTCTTATATCCTTTTTTATCTTTTACTTGTTTTTAGTCATGCTAAATTATTGATGTAGCATTTGACTGTAAATAGTTTCACTACATACAGTAGGTAGTACGTATAACTTTTATTCTACATTCTATATTTTATATTCTATTTTTGAGTGGTCAGCGCTTCGGACTCGCTATTCGGTGGTCCCGGGTTCGAGTCCCACTCTGGTGACTTGCTGGATTTGTTCTCAGTCGCCCAAGTTCAAATCCTCGGCCATGCTTGTAAATTAGCCAACTGGTTGCCTCCTGCTAGTTGGGGTTTTTAATCCTGTTATGTTATATTTGAATTATTTGTTCTGAGTGGAGTGCCTGTAAATTAGCTGGATAAGCTAAGTGCACTTTCCACTATAAACAAGCTTTTAAACCTTTTTAAACACGAGCGGCTCTGCATAAATATCAACTAGACATGGAAATAATCAAAAAATGACCTGGCCTCAGACTCAGCCAGAATAAAGCCCTATATTTTTTTTGGGCCCCAGTTACAAAATCGTTGGTTTAAGTACGATCAAGTGAATAATATTTTTTTAACAAATTTTTTTCTTCCCGAGGCCTAAATGGGCAAAAATCATGCGCAATTAGAGTCAAACGGAACAGATAACTTGTGACTTTTGTTGTATTTCTTACCGCTTTGTGGACTTTTTGACACTTATTACTTTAACTCAGCTTTATTTTAAAAAACCTATACACATTTCAGACCAATATTGTTTCGTGAAGTTACCGAATAATTAAAGTTTGGCGCCTACCGTAATTCCCATTTGGTCGTGCTTCGGTCAGAGGTCACGTTTTTTGCCTGTTTTTAGAGTAACATTTACATTTGCTTCGCTTTGTCAGCACTAGTGATTTGAAGAAAAAAGAATGCTCTTTCAGGCTAAACAAGCCTTGGTGTTCAAAGCCATGTACCAATCCACTTTTTTAGCTCATGAAAAAGTGCTAAATTTTGATCGTTGATTAAATGATTTTGAGTCAACAACTTTAAAAATTTCTTAAAAAATCTGTTATTGACCAAATCCTGAACTAATCAGTTAAAATTATAGAAGAAAGATAGTAAAAATATGAAGTGTCATTATATACACCGAATGCAAATATGGCGGATCTCTCGGTCGGCCCGGGTCTAGTTGCACGAAAGCTAGGTTAGTGAGGCCTCAAGAGTTTTGTTTTGACTGCGCGTCTTAGCGATTCAGTCGATCAATATGGTTTCCTTCGAGTTGTTACGTGCTTAAGAGCCATCAAAGAGGAGATTTAACTCCAGCTGAGACGAAAATTGATTATCCTCCCTTTGCCAAAGGTTCTTTATGAAGAAAGAAATGGATTCAAGCGATTCGGCGCGGCGAATGGAGGCACTTTACTATCATGGAGTTAAAAGAACGAAAGTGTGCTCCCTTCATTTCAGAAGAGAAGACTTACAAAACTATTAGAATGGGTGAATAACTGAAAGATTCATGGTTCTGTTTCAAGTTTGCTTTGTCCGTTCTTTTACCAAGGAAAGGTAAACATATCCTCGAGAACGAGTGAATCCGCCGTCGTGACTTACCAATCTTTAGGCGCTCTTAAGGACAGACAGCAAGGCCGAATGTTTTCACAGTCTTCACGATCCTGTGTTCAAGGGTTTGAGCAGTGCCATAAAAGAAGCAATGTTTGGAAAATCGCTGTTAGTTTATCTCGAAACCATTCGACAAGTTGCTAAAATAGATCACGCGCAAGGTCAAATACAATGCTCGAATACTTGCACGCTCTTTCTCTGCCAGAACCTTTTTCCTTCTTCTTACTTTCTTAGTTGGCAACAGTTCCTCTGTTAGTTTTTTCAATGCACTTTGGTCAAGGACTGTTCTTAAAATATGTCGCTTTCTTCTGGTTCATTCATAGTTTTACAGGCCGCACTTGTAGGATTAACAGGCCATTGTTATTGTTGTTGTTATAATGCGTGACATCTAAAAGACCTTACAGTCTACAGCAGATGCTCCCGTTCTCGAGAATGTTTAGCTTTTGTTGGATAAATAACAGACAATGCAAACATCTTGGAACAACACCATCTCTTGTGAAAATTATTTCATTCAAATACTTTCGTGAGTCCTCTCATCTAAAGTAAGTGAAGCGAGCACACTTTCGCTGTAAAGTGCTTCCCATCGCCGCGCCGAATCGTATGAATCCTTAACTTTCTTTGTGAAAAGATCTCGGGAAAGTAAAGGTTATTCCAGCTAGACTAAAATCTTCTCTTTGGTGGCCCTCAGGCATGCAACAACTCGAAACAAACCATATCGATCGACTCAATCACTAAGACGCGCAGTCAAAACAAAACTCTTGAGGCCTCACTAGCCTCGCTTTCGTGCAATTAGACCCAGGCCGGCCGAGAGGTCCGCCATATTTGCATTCGGTGTATTTTAGTAGCCAACTTTATTTTAAAATATACGAGCCACTGAATATGACTCTAATTTTGCATGATTTTTGCCCATTTTAGGCTTCGGGAAGAAAAAAATTTGTTAAAAAAATATTATTCACTTGATCGTACTTAAAGCAACGATTTTGTAACTAGGGCCCATAGGGCTTTATTCTGGCTGAGTTTGAGGCCAGGTCATTTTTTGACTATTTCCACGTGTAGTTGATATTTACGCTGAGCCGCTCTTAATAAGTCTCATTTTTGTGTATGCCCATCTGATCATATACCTATGTTAAAGTATTAAATATTATTATTATTTTAAGCTGCAAGGCTTATTTTTTTTGCAAAAACCATTACATGCATTTAGCTTTTCAAGACAGATGTGCCCAACATATTTTAATAGTAAACAATTATCTTGCCCAAAAGAGAGAACTAGTACTAAAAGCATGTGACAGTGATTTAAAACTGCCTAAATCAAGGCTTGACAAAAATAATTATTATGCTACATGCCAGAGAGGCAACAGAGAAGAGCATACCTCCTGTTTTACTATAATATAAAGAAGACAATATAGAACAATCATGTGAGATGATTTAGACCAAATGAATTGGAACAATTTTACAATACATGCAAACACTATATGATTTACACCAAAGGGGTTGCCTAGTGGATGCTAGGCAATGGCTGGCATCATTGTTTTTTGTGGAATGTGAAGGTGTGAAGAAGCCTATTCAGATTAAAGGCATGGAACACCCTCTACCCCCCCAAAAAGAAAGAAACCCATATTACACATGGATCTATCAAATGCGATGCCTTACCTTCAAAATAGGAGAAACCTACAGACAGATAGTTCTCTCCATTTCTCACTAATCCAATGCGGGGAGTTGCCAAGTCCCGTCCCTGCTTGTCTAAAACTGTGCACTGAAACTCTCTGAAAATATCAGGGTTTTTTTCTACCATCTCCATGAACTCTGTAAATGTATCTTCATCTGGTAGAAGAATTCCGTAATCAAGTGCACATTTCTCTTTTAGTTCCAGTTCATTGAAGGACCTCCAGAGAATGTCCTTTTGGATTTCTCTGCTGTCAATGAACTTACTAATAAATTGATCCAGGAGATTTACTTGACCAATTTCTTTCCACCTTCTGCCAATGTCTTCTATTTGCACTGGCATGTCTGTTACATGATAGCGGAGTGGTACAAGAATTATTGGCTCTGAGGGCAAAAGCTTTCCTCTGACTTCAACTGCTGGCAACTTGTACTTGCGTTCCAGTTGGTCCGTGCCATAATATAATTTTAATTTTGCATAGAGCTTCTCATGTAGCTGTTGTGTGACCTTACAGGATCTGAGTGCATCTTTAATGATTTCCCTGGCAGACTTCTGAACAACTGGAACTGAAAACTGGGCAATACCTTTTTCCCTGCTTTGAGCCCAGTGGTGTTCATTGACAATGTTCACTTGTTGTTCGGTGTAATACAGCAAATAAGGAAGAATCCAAAATAGCAGAAAGTCGGAAATCTTATTTTCACCAATAAGATTTCTACTGCTTGATTTTCCCTCAAGTTTCTTCTTGTAAAATATCATTAATATTGAGAACAATAAAAGGTACTGGGGCTTCACTGCAATTTTGAGTCCACTGTCAGTGGGATTAATAACATCTTCCGAGTTTTCTTCTTCGAGAGCATGGGTGTCCTCTGGCTTTGGAAACTCAAAGTCTACCTCCATGGGAGTTTCTTCCTGTCCGTGAATCGCTGATTCATTGTTATCATTAGGGGCTGGACAAGTTGAAAGTTTTGCTTTCAACGCAGCCAAATCAAAAACTTCCATCCAGGCTTTGGCTTCAAATTCATTGATTGCCATGTTAGTTCTCTTATTTTCAGACATCTTTCCATACCCCATGTGAAAGGAAGTAATCTCCGGCACTTGAAAAAGGGAATAATCTTTTGCTCTTAAAATATCTTTTGCAAGAAGGCCTAATACTTCCTTCGCTCCTCTGTCCTTCAATCCTCCTTCACGAAGCTCCAGGTCTTGAAGACACACAGTGGGCGACATAAATACTAGATTGTCTTTTTTTCGTGGGTCATAACAATGATAGGGCTGTAAACCAAACTTTTCTCTCAGCAGTTCTTCATCTACTTTAAAGATTTTCGTCAATGTTGTTCCATCTATCTTGCTCGAGGCGGCCGCCATGTTATCTTCACCAAACAGTCTAAAAGCGCGCTAAGTTAACCTCGTCCCCAGGGTTCCCCTACCCAGATCTATTATGGATACGAGAAGACCCAAGTCCAGGAGACACAGTAATGATTTAGACAAAATGTTCCTCTAAGGAATGCATATGCATAGGCTGATGTGGACCTACATCAAGAGAGAATGATCTATCTCTTGCCTACATGTACTAAAGTGGAACAAAATCCGCTAATCGGCCTTCCAGGAACCGGGCCCTGGGTACGTTTTTCCGCCCTGTAGTTTAGGTTGACTTTGGGTTGACTGCTCGCTTCTTTATTTCTCATGCTGGTATCAGCTATAGTATGTCAAGGCAGTCCTCACCAGCGCATAATCTTCTTGGCACATGCTTATGTTTATGCTTGAGTTATGCAGGACAGTAATCTAGGGGGTGGAACTCCGACCCATCAATCCCAACAGGACTGTTAGGCGGAGGTACCTGGATTAAAATCAAGAACAAGAGGCAGAAGCCCGTTGTATCGGACAGCTAAAAATTTTGAAACAATTATACTATAAAGCGTTAGTTAGTGTGCTTTGCTAGTTAGTATGCGTTTAATTAGTGTGCTTTATTTAAAGGTCCTTTTATTGTGACTGGGAATGCAACTATTACAGGGATCCATATTCCAAGTCGTCCGGTCGTTGCAGACGATTAAGATAACTTCAAAAGTCGCCCTTCGGACGAGTGAGGTATTGCTCGACCAAAAATCTTTTCAAAACTTATTATATGATTTTAACATTTTCCCTGTGTTCTGATTCTTATCTACTTAAAACTTTTAGAATAATATGGAGAATAACAAGCAGCTTTTTTCTACAATGAAATCGTGAGTTTGGGCGCCATCTTTGATGGTGTAGTAGTTTTAACGAAACGAGCGCAGGCTCAGTTTTTTTTGGAGTACTAGAAAACGTGACAGCCGGCCCATCACGATGTGACGTTTTTAAAAAAGGTGAAGCAGACGCCGGTGCCTTATACGCATCAAGATGTGAAGTTTTTTAGAAGACGTTTCGCTGCCTTCGTTGAAAAAAAAGGTGACCCAGGAGCCGCTGCCTTTTACGGGGGAAATGTAAGCGCACCGTCTTGCCTTCATGGCAAACTGACCGACCGTGGACTGGCTACTCGTAAAACGTAAATAAAATGTGTTTAGCCTAGGTCTGTAGCCTGTTGTACTTAACAGTTTAGCTAAAACCCTTTGTTAGTAGCTATAACGGAAATCATGCTAATCAGAAATGTTCAAGTTGCACTCAATTTTTTTCACCATTCTTTTATAAAATTCTGCATTTGTCTGGGCAACCCAAATTGTAACCGGGCAGGTATACCATCAGCCTTACTTGCCGGCTGACGACTCTGAGAAAAAATGAATATGGATCCCTGCTATCATGTTCCTGTTTGTCCTATATCCGCCGTAAGCGGACATCACTGCTTACAGTGAGACAGACAAGTCGATGTAGTCTTTTTAGACTTTTCCAAAGCCTTTGACAAAGTGAACCATGCAGTTTTGTTGCAAACGTTGTGCAACTTTGGGATCACTGGCTCATTATTACAATGGTGTGAAAGTTATTTAAGCAATCGCCGACAGAGAGTAGTGCTGGATGGTATATCCTCTTCCTGGTCGGATGTTTTCATCTGGAGTTCCTCAGGGCTCTTTATTAGGGCCTTTATTTTTTGTTATATTTATTAGTGACCTTCCCGAAGAAGTACTTCCTGGTAGTACTATTGCTCTTTAGGCTGGTGACTGTAAATGTTCTAGAATCATTGACACGGCTGGTGATCTTGAATTGTTTCAACAGGACCTGGATAGTCTGCATCAGTGGAGTGTTCTGAATTTCATGAACTTCAATGTCAAGAAATGCAAAATTATGAAAATTACTAAGACGATTCAACCACTCACTTCTAGTTTTTTCCTGGAAAACTCTGAACTGGAAGAGGTTAAAGAGTTTAAAGACTTGGGGATTATTACAAATCATCACTTATCATGGAACCCACATATAGATTACGTAGTATCCAACAAAATGCTCGGTCTGATTAAGAGAACTTGTAAAGGTCTGGATGACCCTAAGACCTTGCGTGCTCTTTACTGCTCATTGGTCCGCTCAAATTTGGAATATTGTTCAGTGGTGTGGTGCCCATAAAGAGAAATACTGATAAGCTGGAAAGAGTACAGAGAAGAGCGACTAAACTTATCTTAAAAAGTGATGATCCCCATGACATTCGTTTGAAGAAGTTAAACCTCATGTCACTGGAGAAGAGATGACTGGTTGACGTGACTTTCTTATATAAAGTATTCTAGGACTCCTTTACAGTTCATCCTTTGGTTTTTTAATCCATAGATTATGATAAATAAATAAATAAATAAATCTCTTCGTAATTAGACCATTAACAACGGATTCACTAAACATAACACCGAATAAAATGAAGAACAAATACTATTTTACATGACGTCGACGGCTATAAATACTCTTGGATGGCGATGAAATCGTTACAGAGATCGCGAAACTTAAAAAAGTTGACCCAACTTTTTGAAGTTTACTCGTTACTGACGAGCATGCGCAGTTACGTTTGTGACATGGCTCCTTTAAAAGGTGTTTGTCTATGTAACTTGTTTTTGATTTATTGTATTGAATACAATTAGTGGCAGGTTTTATAGTAGAAAAAGAAGTACTTTATGTAAAATTTAAGTTCATTTATTCTTCAAAATGGGTGAAAGATTACAATAAAGCAAGTGAATCTCGACATATTCCAAACTATAATAAGACAGACAGTTTTTCATAGCTAGCATTATATCATTATGTTGTGGGTAAAATCCGGTCTCAAAACAGTATTTAACCTAATTTCGTTCGGTGTAGTTTAGAGCTTTAGAAATCAAGGGCTCCAGCTCAAACAATACTGGGGTAGCCAGGAAACAAAGAAAATTCTGATTTAACCAAAGATTGGATTTTAGCTGCAACATATACACCACACATAACATGAAATGTTTAATAGTACAAGTTTGTTCCCAAGATATTTTGAATTACAAAGTGTACAGAGGGTTCCAAACAAATTTTAATGCATTGGCATGAAACGTCCTTTGGTAGGATTTTTATTTTCTTGCTCAAGTTCAGTGTGGGACTTTTTTCCCCCAGGTATTTCCTTGCAAGATTTTTTCCCTAAAAAATCAGTCTGCAGGATATATTTTTTTTCAAAATCACCCATTCCACCCTCAAAAGTCAAATGGTCGACCCTTAATGACATCCAGAGGTAGCACTGAGTGGAGTTTCGACTGTATACGATTATTGACATTATTCTGAGCAACAACGATGGAGGAGACACTAGCTTGAATAGCACAAAAAATAAAGGACGAACAAGTAAAACAGCTTTGTTCTTGCTATTTCTTTTTGGTACATTCCTATGTCGTTCTTTGCCAATAAGCAAACGAATACTATACATCGTCATTAACCCGTTCAAGGTAGAAAACCGCAACAAATAAATACAGTTAGTTGACCTCTCTTTCTGTGCACAGGCTTAAGTACCTGGATCAACATCTCAGTAAGCTAAAGACAAACTATAAAAATGCATATTTGAACAATTTTAAAGCAATTCAAAAGAGCGCAGACTATTGACCTAAACATTTTTACTGGTGGACTGAAAAGGCAATTGAAAGAAATAGGCCGGCGAGAATTAACAAAAATAAACTGTTAGATCAATCAGCCACGTCAAATGATTCAGAATTTTTAATTTGCCGTCGACTGATCGGGAACTTAGCGAGATGAGCGTTTATAAAATGGTTTTTAGACGGTTTCCGCATTCAAAACGCGAAGAGTCCACACATATATTCATACATAACCTTTCTTTAAACTAAAAGTGTAGTCTAGCTACACCATATAGCTAACATCTTCGAGTCTAATAACTCATCATCCGTGGAAATTCTAAGGACGATCACATAAAAAATGTTATTTAAGAGAACGGTTTTTCTGACAGAATGAATGAAATGGAATTTAGGAAAATACTGAGATAAAGTTTGCAACACTCAACCCTTACTTTCTTGGTAATTATCATATCACTGACGTTAGTACAGAGTGCATTTTCCCGTGAACTGCTTGAATTCAGAATTTGATGGTAGAAATAGGTACCAGTGTTAAGATTTCCTCAGAGATCGTCCGCTTTAAAAGAAATAAAAGAAGTATCAACTGGTAATGATCTCTGATGTTCTAACTGGTTAACACATGTGACTGAACTGGTTATACGGGGATAGGGTACCAACTATCTTTGTCGGACTTAAAAACCAAGCTTGATCATTTAGTCTCATCTTTACTATCAGTTTTGGAATTGAAGAGATGGAGAAGTGTATAATATTATTATATTGTTAGCGACTCTTTCCTTTGGAGTCATAGGTAGGTTTAGAAAGGCATCGAAACAAAACTTCAAAGTTCGATTTCAAAACGTTAGCCGCTATGTCATTCGAGGAGGAGCACGGATAGTTTTCCCCGAGCTTAGTTTACAACTTGCTTGATCAGAAGCATTTAATTTGAGTTTAGTTATGGTGAACTTATATCTTGGCGCCAGTTTTTCTTAGCAACCTAAGTGTGGCTTTTGTAATAACACCAAAGTATTTCTTAGCAACTAAAAAATAGCCATTTCCTTAAGGCTTCATTTTGTTGTGTTCCCTGATTCCAAATTTTTTTTTCTTTATACAAGGCACTCCAATTAACCAGATAGGACAGCGTCGACAGTATTCAAATTACTATCCCGGGTGTAATGGCTATACTTATCCTTGATTTTCAATAGTGGAGACTGCTTGTGAGATGCGCCATAGGATAAATGAGCCTGACTGGACTAAACCGGTTTGTAATCCGGATGGAAGCTATAGGGAATACCAGTGTGATGCGTATTCTAGTTCCAGGTGTTGGTGCGTTTACGAAAATGGGATGATGATGGAAGGTAACCACTAGGATAAAGATGTACGCCTAAGAAACTGGTAGTTCAAAATCACATT